GGTGGGCGTTCCACAAGGGTCACTCTAAGGCCCCTTTCTCATTTTAATCTACATAAATGACCTTCCCTTTATGGTAGAGAAAATTGCAGATAAAGTGTAAATAGTAATTTTTTTTTTTTAGGCAATTAACAGACGTGGCGACGGCTAAACTTGTATGTTTTAGTTATTTCCATAGCATAATGTCTTATGGCATACTGCTGTGGGGTAAAGCAGCCGATATAAATACTATATTTGTTTTACAAAAGAGAGCCATACGTTCTATTTATGGTATGGGTTCAAGAGAGTCATTAGTCGTCAGTGTTTTAAAGACTCAAATATCCTCACAGTTACTTCACAATACATTTATGAAAATATTATGTATACACGGAAGAACTTAGAGAGTTTACAAAAAAAAAAAAAATGTAATGACTATTCAAAAGTGCTTCAATGTAAGTTTATTTGAATAGTTAAAGGATTTTCTATATGCTTAGAAATATGAAAGCGTGGCGGTAATGGTAATTGTAAGTAGCTTTGACGTGGTGTAGTGGTTTGAGTAATTTTTTTTTTTTTTTTTTTTCTATTGGTCGATTGATTGATGCCGTCATCAACCACCACTGGTCGACGTCATAGGTTTGACGTCGACCATTGGTGGTTGAGGATGGCGCCTGTGGCTTTGACCATTATACTGCTCACAGCAGATTTGCTACTACTGTTTTAACAGTCATGCTCACTAAAATATCCAGATTTAATGAAAGTGAGCAAAATAATACATATATTTGAATCTGGTGACAAAGACAATATATCAAATTTTAGACCTATTTAAATTTTTTCTAGTATTTAATTACATTTTTGAAAATATATTACTTACACAAATGTTAGTTCATTTTAATATATACATGATTTATTTCATAAGCAGCAATTTGGATTTACGAGAGGACGGTCTACCACTGATGCAAGCATTAACTTAGTACGAAGTATTTTCGGTGCCTGAGAAGATTCACAGGATGGATTGTATTGTTTGCTGATGACACATCACTTATTTTCAAAGTGAAGAGAAATAGAAAGGATTTTAGTAATATAAATAATGCCCTTGATGATTCTTAACTGGTCTACATCAAATAATCTAGCGCTTAATTCAATTAAAACAAAATGTGTTAAATTCTCTTTACCAAATGTAACACAAGTAATGACAAATCTTAGTTTGAATGATCATGTTTTGGACTTTGTTGATGAGACTTCTTTGGTGTTGTAATAGATAATAAATTGCAGTGGGGACCACATATATTCACACGGGCCAAAAGACTAAGCTCGGCTGCTTTTGCTATCAGAAAAATTAGACAGTTAAGTGATACTGCAACAGCGAAGCTAGTGTATTTTAGTTACTTCCATAGCATAATCTCGTATGGTATTATATCGTAGGGCAGGGCGGCTGATGTAAAAAAAAAAAAAAAAAAAAAAAAAAAAAAAATTTTTTAGGGATAGGGATTTATCGTGATGAAATTGGAACATTCATGTTCATGTTACTTTTAAAGTTTTTTGGCCGAAGCTGATGTAAATACCGTATCATTTTGGTGGGTAAAACGGTTTCCACTAAACTTTCTTTTTTTTACTACGACCAGGATGAACATTTCCACTCGTACTTCCTTTCCGTCCACTCATTATGAAAAAAAAAAAAATAATTTGTAGCTGTTGCTCTCTTCGAAGTTCAACCAAGACTAAAATAACTTCGGTAAAATATTATAACAATAGAAATTTCTGTTTAAGTCTGTAGAAACGTGTCTAAACTTGTATAAACAAATATATTAATAAAAGGGAGGCCAGGTATAAAGCCGACGGTACACAATAGGCCCGGTCTCTAACTGCCAACTCACCGCTCCGAACCGCTCTTTCTTTTACCTGCTGTATCTTTAAAACGACTTCGAATTTTCTAAAATCGCTTTACTACCGTATTCTAGACATGTTAAGGGAGCAATTTATGAAAAAAAACAAATCGATTTTTTCAACCCATCACATAGGAAGACCCCCTTAAATAATGTAAATTAAATATGGTAATGTGTGCAAAACTGTGATTGGTACAGTTTATGCTGTAAATAATATAAATGACGTAGTGGAGTAACTTGAAACAGTCATGCTCGCTATAAAGTTCAAACTTGTGGCGGCGTGGTGGGCCGGGTCGATGTGCTCCCTCTAATATGGTTGAGTGCAATGATGGCTGGCTCATCCGTCATACTCGTGAACGGGTGTTGCTTGTGGGGACTGGTCTGTTCAGGTTGCGAACACTGATTAGATTTTTTTTTTTTTTATTATTAGCATGTGGTCACTCTATTCTCCCAAATTTGAATTTAAATGAAATAGTATTATTGTAAATATGTACAACATATTATATACGGCTGGTATTGTCAGTTTATTAGTATCTGTAATATACATCATCTCGACCAACAATATATATATATTATTTAAAATACCTTTTTCCTTTATTTGATTATTATCATCGTATACATAATTACAGTCCTTAAGAAACCTTAATCGTTAAAAGATAACTTTATTTTTCATTACATATTAAGTGAATGTGGGAAACCCTTTCTGAAGCCTGCCAGCTCTATCGATTGTTTTGCTTCTATCGTTGTACTTCTTCTTTTATTTATAATGGCCGAGAAAAGTTTGTAAAGACTCGGTAACAAGCTAATTGGTCTGTAGGAGCCGATATACTTTGGATTACTAAATTACCAAATAGTCGTATTAAAATAAATAAAACTACTCGAGTTGTTACTTCATTAAAAAATTTATTAGGCTGTGTCAAAACTGAGACAACATGTATTTAATTATAAATAACTTATATATATTTTAGAAACATAAATGTTATGTTATGCAATAACCTGCGTTTGGTCGTCATATAAATATTGAGAGGAGTACAGAGTACAGAGTACGGAACAGATCGCCGACTACAAACACTGTGTAAGCGGGCGTCGATGGAGGCGGACCACCTGCTGCGGTCACAACTCTTACACAGACAGACAGACACACAGACAGACAGGCATACAGACACACAGACACACAGACAGACAGAGACTAGACTACTAGACTCTCGCACGGAGCGCACCGCATTACACAATATCGCTAAACTTTGTTTTATACATATAAAAATAGATTACTTAATTAGTTTCTATTCTAAAAAAGAATTTATTCACTATTTATATAATATATTCATTACATAATCAATATAAATGCATAGTTTAAAGTTATGATATGAACCTACAGTCAGAGCACCATTATAATTTATATTAACAACACACGCGACACGTTGCACACACATACACACACACGCACGCACGTGTATGACGTGCGGCTGCACACCGCCGCCTGCACTGCGACCACTGCGACCAGTGCGACCGGTGCGACCGGTGCGACCGGTGCGACCGGTGCGACCGGTGCGACCAGTGCGACCGGTGCGATCACTACGACCAGTGCGACCGAACGATCACTGGACACAGGCGCAGACACCGCCCCGCGGCCCACGTTCGCACTCTTTACATTGTTCAGTCACAAATGAGATCCACGATCCAGTTCCACATTACAATTTCAGAAGTTTCAACAAATTACAGCTTTTCGACTTTTACTGTTGTAAGTCACCATAAATTAGTGGATTTGAAATTCCTATTATACATTGTAGGTACGTATCAGTGACAGTATTAAATATATTACAAACAATGCGTGAATTGGCCGAATAGCTGGCACAATACTACAAATAATAATAATATAAAAAAAAACAAAGTGAATTATTTTCTGAGATCAATGGAGTTTTTAATTATTTATCAGTATTTAGGTAACCAGTTATATATTGACATTATGTCAAATGTAATATTGGATCTCGGTGATCGTGTTTGGAACTAACTGAATCTGTCTCTAAATACAGGATACTGTCCGGAGTTCATTACACTGTCACTTTACAAATATATATACAGGAGACAGTAACCATGCAGTAGAAGCTCTTGAAACTGATACGTACCCACACGGCAACGTGACAGGGAGGGACATGTGTCGTGCTTAAATATATTTAAAAAAAAAAGGTACTTCAAATGACAGACGAAAGTACATTCACTGAAAAACGAAATGATCCAGAGAGAAAGTGATGTGTACGTACATTTGTTAGTGAGTGAAATGATTTTTGTGAACACTCGGGCCACATACATATATTTTAGATTTTATTGCATTGAGTAATTGTAATTGTAACTATTGCATTGCAGCGCCATATTTTCAGTACTTGTAATAAAAAAAAACATAAATAAAAATCAATACATATCTCGGTCATACATACAGTCGGCAAATTCACATAAATATATATGATTTTTCTTATAAAATTGCATCTATTACAATTACAGTATTTGAAGTACATTTTCAAACATCAAATTAGTACTTAAGAATAGACAGAAGGTTAGCATTTCCTGTACAATTAGAAAACTTTTTCGATTACCTAACTACCTATAGTAACATTACATTAAAAAAAAAAAAGTGTCACACGGGTGTAGAGCACGACGCGAGTGGTACACCCGTGTGGTCACCTACAGTACGTATAATACACTCAGCTAAGTGACATTTACATCGGTACTTATGTTTCGTTACTAGTCTATCGGGCACTATGTACTATTGTACGTACGCACAACGGACAGTAGCCGGTAGTCCAAATCGGAGTATACGTAAACATGGCAAGCGTCGGAGACGGGACGAGGCGCGCGCGGTACGTACTTATCTACAGGTATAAAAACAGTCAACGCAGCGGCGCGGGTCTACCTCGTCACGTGAAGGTAAAAAAAAAAAAAAATAATACACAGAGTGGTGGAGTACATAGTGATTCGTTCACGCCGGGAGCGACGCCAATCGGTCTTGCGATGAGATCGCCGGCCAGTGGCGGGCCGTGGCCGGGCGTGGCCGGGCGTGGCCGGGCGTGGCTGGCCGTGGCCGGGCGTGGCGGGTGGCGGCTAGTGTCCGCGCGCGCGGGGCGGCTCGCGGGCCGCGCGCCGGCGTCACACGTCGGTGTGCCGCGGCGGGGCGGGCGGGGCGGGCGGCGGCGGCCGTTCCTCTTCCTGCTCCTCCTCCTCCTCCTCTTCCTCCTCCGCCTCCGACTCCTCGATCTCGCACAGGTTCGTCGACAGGTCGCTGCACGAGCCCGCGTCCGCGCCGCCCAGCAGCGAGTTGCGCTCTTCTGCAGACGGAACCTCATATTAGTCTCTTAGAAGTCAATAATTGTATTGAATACTGCGATTAATTTTAAGTCGCATTCGATTTATAAAATATTTCATTACGTTATTACAAATATGTTAACAAATGTAAACATTAAAGTACCTCGCAATCATACTTTGATAGATGAAGTGTGTATTATTTTAACTTATTTATGAATTAATATATCAATACTGAATTGAAAAATATCGGTAGTACTTTTGTTTTGTTACTTATTATTTTTGAATACATTGCGATTATATATTGGATTGTTAAGATTAGTATTGAATGTATGATACATTTTATTTATCTTATATTCCTATGTAATCACAGACGTAGTATTAAAAAAAAAAAAGTGTGTATTTTACTGGAACGGAGTATTTTGTCGTTTTACTACTATTCAACATATGGAATATTGACCGAGCATGGTGATGAGGCTGGCGGCGTCCGGCTCGCGCAGGCCGCGCGCCCGCAGCGGCTCGCAGTCGGAGCCGGCCCGCGGCAGGTACTCGTCGGGGTGCAGCAGGTACGACGACGCTGCAACACGAGCGCGCACGTCACTAACACATAACACGACAGGGGTGGAGTGCGGGGGGCGCGGGGGCGCGGGGGCGCGGGGGCGCGGGGGCGCGGGGGCGGCGCCGTACGTACCGTCCGCGAGCCGCAGCGCGTCGCAGCTGCGGTCCAGGTCGAGGTCGTCGGGCGCCGAGTCGGTGTCGGCGGGGGGGCGGCGCGCGCGCGCGGGGCGCGGGGCCCGCGGGGAGCGCGGCGAGCGGGGCGAGCGCGGGGAGCGGGGCGAGGGCGGCGAGGGCGGGGAGGGCGCGGAGGAGGAGTCGGGCCGCTCGGAGCCGGGCACCTCGCTGATGCCGGGCAGCGCGCCGGCGCACCAGTCGGAGCAGTCCCAGTGGTAGCCGCCCACCAGGTGCGGCTCGCCCGCCGCGCGCCGCGCCCGCGGCTTGCACGCCTTCAGGTCTGCGCGTCGAATATACACAATATATCATCAACCTTATAATAAATATCGACATCATCATTATAAACATAATTATGAACGTCGTTGTCCTCATTATAATTAATCACTTATTTTTTTTTACTAAAATTACTACTATTATTAATAGGAATGGTAAAACGCTGTTTACCTAATAAAGTCGACAATACCGGCTTCTATACGTTGTTACCACGTCACATCATAAGAATGTTTACAGCATTGCAAAAGTTAAATCGCATGGGATATTTATTAAATTTGCGAGTAACAAATAATTTTTTTTAACTTATAACTTATAATTTTATTAGGTTTACCTGGTCGTTACTGAATATTTTCAATCACGATTAGGTAATACTCAATTAAGCAATAACGATAAAGAACAAATCAAACCATCGAAAAAAAAAACAGACAGCAGTGATCGCCGGAAACGGTACCGTTATATATTTTGTTGTCGACGAAGGTGTGGAGGTGCATCTGCTCGGACCAGGGCTTGCGGTCGTGCGCGGGCTCGATGTTGAGGTTGCGGCGGTAGTCGGGCGGCACGCCCTCGAGCTCGTCGCCGGCGGAGCCGTAGGAGCGCAGCGTGTCCACGTTGTTGAGCGGCGGCGGGTCGGCGCAGGAGGCGGGCCGCGCGCGGGCCACGGCCTCCAGGTTGGAGAGCTTGGAGCGCGCGGGCGGCGGCGCCGACAGCTTGCGGCGCGCGCGGGCGGCGGCGCGGGCGCGCGACCGGCGCCGCGCCCACAGCGGCAGCGCCGCGCCCAGCACCACCAGCGCCAGCAGCGCGCCGCCCAGCGCCGCCAGCGGCCAGCGCGCCGCCACCGCCCAGCGCCACGCCTCGCCCAGCGCGCGCGCGCCGCCCGCGCCGCCCGCCACCACCGCGTCCGAGTACAGCGGGTTGCCGCAGTTCATGCCTGCGACATTGTCTCGCGATGTAGTCACGGTACGTAGAGACGAAACGCTTAAATCAGTGTTTATTTTAATAGCCGAAATTTTTATCCCCGACTCCGCGTGGAATTAAATTATTTTTTATAAACGAAATTTTCAACATATAAATAACCTGGATTACTACTTATATATATTAACATTAGATATCTACGAGTGAAGGTCCCACCAAAATAGGTCTTGTCATTTCAGAAAGTAGCAAGAAGATATTTAGAATTTTAGACTACAGAATAGAAATATAGAATTAAATATATATCAGGGATGGGCACACTCACCCGTCTTGTCCGGAGGGCAGAGGCAGCGGAAGGAGCCCGGCTCGTTGAGGCAGGTGGCGCCGTTGAGGCAGGGCTCGCCGGCGCACTCGTCCACGTCATATTGGCAGCGCGGGCCGTAGTACCCGCGGCAGCGGCACGAGGGCCCCCACTCGCCCTCCTCGCAGGCGCCCCCGTGGAGGCAGGCCCCGGGCGCGCACCACCGGCCGCGCTCGCAGCGCGCGCCGCTCAGGCCGGCCGCGCACGTGCACGTGTAGCCCGCGCCGCCGCGCACCGCCGCGCACGCGCCCCCGTGCAGGCACGGCGCGGACGCGCACGGCTCCGCGTCCGCCTCGCAGCGCGCGCCCGAGAAGCGCGCGTGGCACTCGCACGCGAAGCCCTCGCCCTCCAGCAGCGGCGTCTCGCGGCACGTGCCGCCGTGCAGGCACGGGTACGACGCACACGCGGTGGGCGGCGCCAGCGGCGGGCACGTGGCCGCCGTGCGCACGCGCAGCCGCCGCGCCGGCCGCGCGCCCCCCGCAGCCCCCGCGCCCACCGCGTCGCCTTCCTCCAGCGGCAGCGGCGCGCCGGCCAGCCGCACATCCGCCATGCACCCCTCGAACCCGTACGACACCTGCGCGACCACCAGCTCCATTATACTCAAACTTCCGCTGACCGGTATCCCACCACATTACAGTTATTTTAGTTGCGTTGTGTAACTATATGTTATGTTAATAATTGCATTTAATAATGCCTAGTAAGATAAATCCAATATTGTCTACTAAGCACTGCCATGTCTAAACTGTGTCATTTTCAACCTTACATTTTCCTATTGTTATTTAGTATATAATTATTTTTATGTACATATTGTCAGTTTATTACCATCTGTAATATACATCGTCTCGACCAACAACATCGTATCATTTATCCGCAACAAAGCTCAATAAGCTCACCGCGTAATAAAAAAAAAAAAGTATAAGAACGGAGGGGTCACCTGTTCGGGTGCGAGCGCGTGCGCGTGTCTGAGCAGCGCGGCGCCGATGGTGAGGCGCGCGGGCTGCGCGTCCAGCACGGCGGCGGGCGGCGGGGCGTGCGCGTGCGCGCTGCGGCGGTCCAGCGTGAGGCGCACGGCCGCGCCGCGCCGCTCCAGCCGCGCCTCGTGCCACGCGCCGTCCGCCACGGGCGCGTCCGCGCGCACCAGCGTCGGGCCCGCGCCCAGCTCCATGCGGAACTGCAGCAACCCGTCCGCCACCTCCAGCACGGCGTAGTCCACGCGGCCCGCCACGTGCGCCAGCGTACCGCGCGGCCTCTGCGTGCGGAACCGCAGCGACAGGGTCAGCTCGTCGTCCGGCGTGCGCGCGCCGTCCACCGCGCCGCGCTCCAGCCGGTACTGCAGGTACCCGTCGCCGGCGAAGTGCACCACCGGGGCGCGCGCGCCGCACTCCGCGCCCTCGCAGCAGCGCTCGCCGCAGTCGATGGCGGCCGCCGGCCGGTCGCAGCGCTCGCCGCCGAAGCCCTCGCCGCAAGCGCACTCGCCGACGAGCCGGTGCGGCGGCGCCACGAGCGCGAACACGTCGGTGGCGATCACGCGCCCGCCGCCGGCGCGTACTCGCACCCGCTCGGCGCACGCGCCGTGCACGCACCCGCCGCACGCGACCCGCACCAGCTCCTCGACCACGAGCCGGGCGCGCTCCTCCAGTCGCTCGATGTGAGCGTGCAGTCGACGGCGCAGGGCGTCCGCAGGCAGGAAGCCGCCGCCGCCGGCCGACGCGCGGACGCAGAACGCGACGTCGAGATCTTGCGCGATCTGTCGCTTTCGACGGTCCGAGTTCTGGCCGCCGATTCCCTCTCCGGACGGTTGTACGCTCACGATGACGACGTCGGTGATCTCGCAGTCGGTGGCCTCGGCGACGGCGCGCAGGAATCCCTTTCTATGGCTCAGAACGAAATCACGATCGGTGACCTCACGAAAACGGATCACTATAGATTGTGCGAGCATTTCGTCGGAAACGAGAACGACATTGACTTTGACGATTGTGAAACCATAGAATCTGCCGTCGTTTACGCTGATGTTCAGTCGATATTCTCCCACGTCCAGTCGTGGCGCTGCCCGCAGAGTGCCGTCGGAGGCGTCTATCGTGAAGAGATCGGTAGGAGGATACGTCGCGCCGTCGATCGGTTTTATCTCGTAGTTCAGCGTATCGTAGGCGTCTCGATCCGAAGCGATAACGCGGCCAATATTGCCACCGGGGAACTCGTCTAGATACGAGTTAACGACGATCTCGAGTGGCGTCACCACCGGCGGGTACTGAGACTCTTCGATCACTCGTATATATACCCAGGCGTCGGAGAACAACGGAGGTGTGCCGTTGTCGAACACTCGCACCTGTAGCGTATATCGATCTCTAATGCGATGGTTGAAACGGGTGGCCGAGCGCAAAACGCCGTCTTGTTCCAGTCGGAAAGCGCCGATTTCATTTCCAGATTGAAAGTCGAAAGTGAAAGGGGCGGCATTCGGAGGTGCATCGGCATCGGTGACCACGAATTTGAGAATAGTGTGCCCCAGTTGGCGATCTTCTTGAACCACCGCCGTATAGTTATTCTGTGAGAATAGAGGTGGGTTGTCGTTGGCGTCGACCACTTCCACGTTGACGAGGGCGCTGGATTCGAGAGCGGGCAGGCCTCGATCGCGGGCGCGCACCTCCAGCACGTAGGCCGGCGTGGACTCGCGGTCCAGGGGGGCGGCCACCGACAGGTAGCCGGTGTCGGGGTCGACGGCGAAGCGGCCGTCGCGGTCGCCGCGCACCACCGAGTACGTGACGCGGCCGTTGACCCCGGAGTCGGCGTCGTCGGCGATCACTTGCAGCACTCGCATCCCGACCGCGGCGTCCTCGCGCACCCGCGCGCCGTAGGACGACTGTGAGAACGTCGGCGGGTTGTCGTTGCCGTCCGTGACGGTGATGTTGAGCGTGGCCAGGTCGCTGAGCGGCGGGGAGCCGCCGTCTATGGCCTGCACGGTGAGCACGTACTCGCGGCGGCGCTCGTAGTCCAGCGGGCGCGCCACCGAGACCGCGCCGGAGGAGCGGTCGACGGCGAAGTCGTCGCGGCCGTCGCCGCCCACGATGGAGTAGTAGACGTCGGCGTTGACGCCGGCGTCCTGCGAGGTGGCGCGCACGCGGACCACCTCCGTGCCGGGCGCGTCCAGCTCGGGCACGGCGGCGCGGTACTGGTGGAACTCGAATTCGGGCGGGTTGTCGTTGACGTCGGCGACGGTGAGGCGCACGTGGGCGGCGGCGGCGCGCGGCGGGCGGCCGGCGTCCCGCGCCGCCACCACCAGCCGGTGCTCGGCGCGCGTCTCGCGGTCCAGCGGCGCGCGCAGCGTGATGATGCCGCTGTCGGCCGCGATGGCGAACGCGCCGCCGGGGTCCTCCGCGAACGAGTAGCGCACCAGACGGTTCTCGCCCAGGTCCGCGTCCGTCGCGTGCACCTGTCCCGACGTTCGCAATGTTACGATCCAAAACAAATATAATAGTGACAGCGACCGCTTCGTTTCGCTTTCTTTCATACCTTAGCCACCAGGGTGCCGATGTCGGCGTCCTCGGGCAGCGTGACGCTGTAGGTGTCGGCGGAGAACCGCGGGGAGTTGTCGTTGACGTCGTCGAGCGCCAGCTGCAGCTCGGAGCTGCACTCCCACTCGGGCCGCTCGCGGTCCTGCGCGTGCGCCACCAGCTTGTACGAGCTGACCGACTCCCGGTCCAACTCGGAGGCCACCGTCACCTCTCCGTTTTCCTTTATAAAACATTAGTATACATGGTTACGCATCTCGTCGAGTGGTTTAATGTACGTAACACGAGTTCTGCTTAACATGTGACATATGTCCGACCACACTACAGCACTGTTAGCACTAATTCATTATCTTTTGAATCAATTAATTTAATTGAGTATCGATTATTTATTTAATCATTATTAATTGGATTGATCACTAATTTAATCTCATAATAGCATATAAACTAACTGTATTCTGTAGCTGACATCGCATGTAATATATACAAAATGTCTTAGTCCCATTAAAAAAACAAAATGAAATAGAAACATTCATTTCTTTTTAAATGGGACTAATGTAATAAATCAGTTGGTTAAATATTGATTAAAGATTGATTTGTCACATTGATGTGGATAATGAAATCTATAGATATGTTTGTCGATTAGAATATACTCTAGCATCTACGTAATTGACAGCTATGTAACTTTCCATCCATTTCAATGTTCACAATGCCTATGACAGTACCCGTCTAGGACGACCATAACCGTGAAACCGTCGTTACTAGCAGCACTAGTGTAATTTATTTACCTTATTTATATCAAAATGATGTGCATAATCTCCGGTTAGATAGTATCTCAGTTGTCCGTCGCGCGGCTCATCGGCGTCTCCCGTGGCGAGCTGCATCACGCGCGTGCCGTTCGCCGCGTCCTCCGGCAGCCGCGCGTAGTAGCGGTGTCGGAGGCAGTACGGCGGGTTGTCTGAAACGGCGGCGGGAACGGTCAGAACGGTTCGACGACGGAGCGACCGCAAACGGGAGACGAGAACGGATCGGGCGCTCACCGTCGACGTCCAGCACGGCGACGGAGACGCGCGTGTAGGCGGTGAACTTGCCGTCGGTGGCGGCGACGGTGAGCCGGTAGTGCGGCTCGAGCTCGCGGTCGAGCGCGCGCGCCACGTACAGCTCGCCCGAGGCGCGCAGCTGGAAGCGCGCGCGCGGGTCGCCGTCGGCCACGAAGAAGGCGAGCGGCGCGGCGGCCGCGTCCGCGTCGCGCACGCCCAGCCGCGCCACCACCGTGCCCGCGCCCGCCGCCTCCGACACGCGCGCCGCGTACTCGCGCCGCCGGAACTCGGGCGGGCAGTCGTTGTAGTCCACCACGCGCACCACGAGCGTGCCGCGCGCCTCGCGCCGCGGACTGCCGCCGTCGGCCGCGCGCAGCGCCAGCCGGTGCTCGGCGCGCGCCTCGCGGTCCAGCGCCGCCGTCGTGGTCACCCAGCCCGTGTACGGGTCCACGGCGAACGGGCCCGCCGCCTCCGCCGCCTCCGCCGCGCCCTCCGCGCCCTCCTCGCTCTCCGCCGCCAGAGAGAACCGCACCTCGCCGTTCGACCCCGAGTCGGGGTCGTCCGCCATCACTGTGGCCCGAAACGACGTGGTCAGAGATAATTCGTGCGGGCCGAGTAATCGTGCGATACGGTCGATACACAGTAGTTCTTTAATAAAAATATTTATTTTTACTTATTTCGTTTAAATAAAAATATTAGATAATTTGTCGTAACTTGTCCAATAAAGTCAATTTTTCCATAAAAAGTATTTAGGAGTCAACCTTCTATAAGGATTATTATTAGGCAAATGGATTTTTGACATTTATAGTTTTAACAAAAGTTGATAATAGTCAATAATATCCTATATTGTAGTAATTGCTAGACATACCTCGCATTTACACCCCTTTTATTTAGTGCCTGCATACCTCTAATTATTCAGTTTGTTCATTTACTTTTTTCGTTACTCATTCACTTACAATGAAATATGAAATCATGTAATCCACTCAGCATATACTATTTAAACTATACATACCCTCTAAACTATGTATATAGTCTATTATATATGATATTGTATTAATTTAATTATATTCTCTGCACATTTGTCCGTAAATCACTTATTCGGGGTTCCACTGAAAATCAGCGTCGTGGCTTTTGTCGTGGCATAATGCTGAGATGGGCCCCTTACACACACATCAGTACAGTGACGCGGTGACGATGAGTAGTGGATGGGAAATGCATTTTACTTTATTATTATTATTTAGTATTGTTTTTTTTATTTATTATTATTATTTATTTGTTTGTTACTATGTTGTTCTTTTATTTATTTATTTTATTGTATATTTTATATTTTGTTTGTCTTATATAATAATTTATATGCAGCTTTCAGCATCGTTTTTTTTGTGTTGTGATGTGTGATGTAATAAATGTTATTCTATTTTATTCTATTCTGTTCTACATTTTTAAATGATGTTATTTTTATTTTCAACCTTTAATAATAAATCAATAAAAATATATCATAAGAAATAAAAGAGTGCGCGACGTACGCTGCAGCAGGCTGGTGTGCGGCGGCGCGTTCTCCGCGACGTGCACGACGTACGGCTGAGAATGGAACGACGGCGCGTGCTCGTTCACGTCCAGCACGTGCAGCCGCGTCTGCACCATCACGCCCGCCGCCGGGCTGCCCGCGCCCTCCGCGATTATGCCTGCGGGCAGACGACATGAATAACAACGGTACACTCGGGCGCGGTACAAAAAGATAAAAAAAGGTAGCTACCTATGACGTGCTCCTGCGCGTCCTCGCGGTCGAGCTGCCCGGCCAGCAGCAGGCGGCCGTCGGCGTCGATCTGGAACAGGTCGCGCGGCCAGCGGCCCGGCGCGAGCCGGAAGCGCGGCCGGTCGGCGGGCGGCGCGGCCGGGTCGCGCAGCTCGGCCAGCAGCGTGCCGGGCGGCCGGTCCTCGGGCAGGAACACGTCCGGCGGCGGCGCGCGCACGCTCGGCGCGCGCTCGCCCGCGCCCAGCACGAACACCGACACGGGCGCCTCCCCCGCCAGCCCGCCGCCGTCCCGCGCGCGCACCCACACCTGCACCGCGCGCGACGCTGCACGCAACACACGTTTGCACATTCGTGGAGAACTATTCTAGCGACGTTATATTTACTACCGATCTAAATACTATACACATAGATAAATTAATCCAAAGGGTAGTATGTATATTCTGTAATAAAAATACGCTAATGACAGTTTTTTTTCAGACTACTCTTACACTGTCGACCGGAGCCTTTACAAGTTCATATTTTTTAATTTTTTTAGAAACATAGACAACATCGATGGGCGATTATCACTACTCACCAAATTTAGAGGCGTCGCGCTTGAAAGAGAGCGCTCCGGTCTGCGGATCGATGTCGAAGAGGCCGGTCGTGTCCGACCGCACGTCGCCCTCGTACACGGAGTAGAGGATGCGGGCGTCGTCGCCGGCGTCCGGGTCGTGCGCCGTGAGCGTGAGGAAGGGCAGGCCCGGCGCGCGGTCGTGCGGCACGGCGGCGCGGTACTCGCGGTGCGGGAACGCGGGCGCGTTGTCGTTGACGTCGGCGACGCGCACGCGCACGGTGGTGTGCCGCAGCAGGCCGCCGCCGTCGCTGGCCGTGACCGGCACCTCCCACTCGGCGCGCGCCTCGCGGTCCAGCGGCACGCGCGTCGTCAGCGCGCCGCTCGTCGCGTCCAGCGCGAACGTCTCCCGCAGCCGCGCCGACGGGATCGAGTACGTCACCGCGCCGTACTCGCCGGCGTCGTCGTCGTACGCCTTCACCTGTGGGGCGGTAAATTCGAATTCTAATTCTAAAATCATTTATTCACGTAGGACGTTTTAGCCGCTTATGAACGTCAAGTTTTTACATTATAATTTTTTTCCCTACCGTCCAGTTCGGTATATAGATCCAATTGAAAAGAACTGGCAAGAAACTCAATTGAACTACTTTTTTTTTAAATCCATCCATATTTACAATGCATAGGTATTTATATAGGTGTCTATGTCTAACATTAAATGAAAAAGCGGAACATGAAACTATTGCCATGCACGCTCGTCATTCAGTTTTGGTAGTCGACTTAAACTTATTTAAATCTTCAGTGAGCATTTTATCGCAACGCGAGCGGAGCATATTGAAAGTTAATCGATCTAAAGGATTATTATGTTTTTTAAATTTTTTATGATAATTCGCTTTTTCTTTTAGACATTTAATTAATAAAAAGCTAAACCAAATTGGGTATTTATTTTTACTTTTTCTTGTCAACGGTGTGGGATTAGTAATTACGGGCATAATTAGGCTATAGAATATATCTACCATTACGTCCACATCACTGATTTGTTCCAAATGTGCAAACCAGTCTATTTTTGATATTTCTTCCCTAACAGTAGCATAATCTGTCTTATGAAAGTTATATGTTTTATGAAAGTTAAATTTTGGTCTTTTCGTTAACTTAATGTTTAGGGTAATATCCAGAGCGGGGTGATGAGGTGTCGCAAAACCTCAATCCCTTAGTGAACCAAGATAACTAAGGGATTGAGGTTTTGCGACACGTTTAGGCAGTTGCGAGTATTAGTAAAAACCAGATCCAGAATACGAGAATTCTGATTAAGGATGTTATTCATTTGTTGTAGATTATTAAAATCTGTTAGTAAAGTTTCAGCAGCAGACGGGGTTTATTTTAGAGCCTGTGTCGTAATTAATGGAATATTAGTGAAATAAGATTCGAATGTATCCGCGACCTCTGTGCCGGAATTTACCAATTTGTTATTAATATATAAAGCTATTTTGCTATTTTATAATAAATAGGGGATCGGATATGTAGCTTCGTTTTTCGTAATGTTACTTACCGTGGTGAGCAGCAGCGGCGGCGGGTGGTTCTCGGGCGCGCGCGCCTCGTGCACGAGGTGCGGGAAGCGCGGCGGCGAGCGGTTGGCGGGAGCGAGCGCGAGCTTGACGCGCGCGAAGGCGGCGTGCGCGCCGTCGGACACGGACACGTTGAGCGAGCGCGGCGCGGCGGCGGCGGCGGAGGCGGCCCAGGCGCGCGCGCTGCCCAGCGACAGCACGCCGGTGCGCGGGTGCACGGTGAAGGCGCGGTGCGCGGCGCCGGCGCCGGCCAGCGCGTACCGCAGCCGCGGCGCGTCGCCCGCGTCCGGGTCCCAGGCCGCCACGCGCGCCACCGCCGCGCCGCGCGCCGCCTCCACCGACACCAGCGCCGGCACCACGCCGCGCTCCATGCGCGGCGGGCTGTCGTTCACGTCCTCCACTGATACATTTTTAGTTAGTAAATAGATATTATTACTATTCTCTCTGTGTTCAAAATCTACCCTGTAACACCGTAAGCTCAGATTATTATATTAGAGTCCGTTAGTTTTCTGTTCCCGCGCCTTTGCCTCCCATCCCTTAACTAGTAACAAACGGACCGTACAGCGGCCTTGACGCGCGCACGCATTGTGTTGTGAATTAAAATAAATTAGAACTATGTTAACCTACTGTGAAGCTGGAAAGCTAGCGAAGATACCTTCGAGACTCTGAAGCCCAAGAAATCCGCAGAACCATAAAGGTAAATGACTGACGCTTCCCTAACATTTTGGTAGGAGAGTAGTTTCCCAAACACTCTGAAATACATCTTTTGACTAAATAAATGATTTGGATCGACTCGTTGCCATTTAATCAGTCCAGTTCCGGTATAGCGTTTGAAAATTGTATAACATTATTTAAGTATAATATTTAAATGTGATATAAGTTATATTTAATTGACGAATTATTGATTTGCGTAAGTTTTTTATCTTTTTCTACTATTTCTTATACAATAATGAGTTCATGATATAGCATAGTTGTTTGTTAACTTCTTAAATATGAATATACATCGTTTGTCTTATATAGTAGTTATACACATTGCAGAAACACGTACCTGTGATGAAAAGATGCGCCGTGGTGAGGAGCGGGGGGCGGCCGCCGTCGGTGGCGGTCACCAGCAGGTGGTACTCGGAGCGCGTCTCGCAGTCCAGCGGGGCCGCCACGCGCACCGCGCCAGTGGCCGGCTCCACCGCGAACGAGTCCGCGGCCTCGCCCCCCACGCCGCTCAGCGAGTACCTCACCTCGCCGTTCGAATCTGAAGCATGAGTCGGAGTCGAGTAACGGTTCGCGAGAAAGCGAGTGCGGGGTGCGGTGCCGGAGGGGAGCGTACCGGTGTCGTTGTCGGTGGCGACGAGCGCGAGCACGAGGTCCCCGACGGCGGCCGCCTCGGAGACGGCGGCGCGGTACACGTCGCGCTCGAACTCGGGCGCGCAGTCGTTGACGTCGAGCACGCGCAGCGTGACGGCGAGGTCCGCGTACGCGCCCGTCACGCCGTCCGTGGCGCGCACGGTCAGCGCGTGCGAGCGGGCCGCCTCGTAGTCGAGCGGCGCGCGGGACACCAGCACGCCTGACGATCACTCCGTGCTTAATATTACATTCGTTATAAGTAACCGAGATGCGTGCGGTGAAATGTAAAAGAACAGATCGGTGACGATGACGACCTTCGACAGCATCTAGATCGTTACTATAGTAATGTGATCCTGACACCATGCGAAAGCGTGATACCCGAATGTGTAGTTGTAGTTTAATTCGTTTACGAGATGCGTCAAGTTGCTAAGAATAAAAGTTGTTCTTATACATATACAAATGTTCACAATATTTAACTTTATGACCATTGGGTATTATGAAACTTCTGAAGTGGTTAGTAGCTAATATATTCGTAGTTTCTACGATTGATTTTATTGATGGAGTGGTGACGATCGCTTACATGCAATAGCACCACAAACATTACAATGCCTTCTAAGTTAACCTGTGATTTCACTACCATATATCATCTTTTAGTTCAGAACAATTACAGAGCAAACAGCTTAAACGAAACTAAAGCACACAGAGAATATTGCATAATGACCACTTCTAGTAAACATACAGGAAACAGATGCAGAAGACACGGCATGGACTTTAATCAATACGTTTACACAAAAAAAAGCTTTCTTGAAAAAGTTATATAATAACAAAGAAAAGTGACCATTGTTTCCTCATTGTAATAAACAAATACAGCTTGCGAGGCGGCGCCAGCCTGCCTAATGTTTCTTTACTTTACTAGCATATTATCGAAACTACCCTCTAATGCTATACATGCACAAGAAGTTTAATATGTTATAACAGTTCTCCGTGTGCATAACTAATGAAAATATTATTTCCATCTGGTCCCATTTTCTTGTTAATAAAAAAGCATAATAAAACATTACTACATAAAAGCATAACTACATGACGGCGTTGTAATTCACGGAGATGTTAATAATAATATTGTAGCATTAATAATGAAAGCGGATATCGTTAATGGTCGTTAATGATCGTGGCCACAACACAAAGAGGTCGGAGGAGGCGAGCGAGGCGGCACATGAGAGGCGAGATGTGGCACACGCACCGCAGTGCGGCGGCGCGGCGCTAGTGGACGACATACTCAAGTATCTCAATGTCAAATACTCACATGGACTATTGCCTCTTTCGGGTGCTGCGGGATAAAACCAACGTGTTTAGTGGCGCTCTACTTCATACATATACATATAGATATAATATTAATGTCACTCGTGCGACGTCATTTAGTAGCTCTACTACTGCACATTCACAAAACGCGACCGGGGCGCGTCTCTCCGCACACACCGCGACGTGTAACGTCGTCGACGACGAGGAGAGAGACGCGCCCCGGCGTCGGGCCCCGCCCGGCCCCCCTCCCCCGACCCCCGCATGCAGCGCCCGGCCCCCGCACTCACCGGCCTCGAAGTGAATCTCGAACAGCGAGGCGGCCGCGTCGTCCTCCACCAGCGTGTAGATGAGCTGCCGCGCCAGCGGGGACACGGCGCGCAGCGGCGGCGCGAGCGGCGCGCCCGGCGCGGTGTCCTCGCGCGCGGCCAGCGACACGTGCGCGCGCTCCCACGCCGGCGCCGCGCCGCCGCCCCACACGCGCACCGTCACCGCCGCCTCCGCGCCGCACGCCGGCACGCCTGCCACACGACGCAACCATTACCGAGTCCACCCCGGACGGATAATCGAATTAAAATGAATGCAAAGTTATTTATCTCTCGTGTGTCGTATTTTTCAACTGTCCTCTGATTGAACGAGTCTCCGCTCTCTCACCTCCGTCGAACGCGGCGATCACGAGCGTGTACAGCTGATTGTGCGCGTCGACGGTCTGCTTCAGTGTTATCTGCCCGGTCTGACGGTCCACTCGGAAGAGCTCACCGTGACCGCGCTTCATCTCGTACCGGACCTGTACACCGGATAGGTATTGAGGAATTTCAAGGAACAGAGTACGCGTGAACGTACGACAGAGCGACGGACACGCACCTCGCCGTTGTCGTTGGCGTCGGCGTCGACGGCGTGCACGCGCAGCACGTGCGTGCCGGGCTCGGCGCCGGCGGGCACGGCCGCCACGTAGGGCCGCTCCAGGAACACGGGGCAGTTGTCGTTGACGTCGGTGACGGCCACGTGCAGCCGCGCGCGCGCCACCCGCGGCCCGGCGCCGCGCGCCTGCACCGTCAGCTCGTACGCGGCGCGCCGCTCGCGGTCCAGCGGCAGCCCTGAGCTGCGCACCGCGCCCGACGTGCCGTGCACCTGCGCCGGACACGTCCACCTGTACTCATCTCGTAGCCGAGAACAGTTCTTCGATCGAAACGCGTGTTATGCAGCGAGTTATTTGTAACAACAAAATTTATATTGATATGGAGCCGACTGCGGTAGCTATTCGTACAGACACGCTAATGTAATAACGATATCTGAGGTCAATTCGCACACCGCCATCTAGACCCGAGTTAAGCCAGCTAAAGCTTGTGTTATGGATACTAGACGACTGATGTACATACATGAATATTTTTTTTATAAATAAATACGTCTTATACATATATAACACCCAGACCGACACAAATGATCATAAACGGTATACTATACTACTAGACCACCGAGGCGTCAAACAGATCCCCGTCGACCCGTTCACTCACTTCGAATCCTTCGACCGGGTTCAGTATGCTGAACTCGATGTGTTCGTTGAGAGCGGCGCCGAGCACGTTGAGCACGGCGATCGTGGCGGGCTTGGTGGAGTTCTCGACGACGGAGCCGTAGTAGTCGGACTTCTGGAAGGCGAGCCCCGAGTTGTCGAGCTCGCGCACGCGCACGTCGACGCGCGCCGTGGCCGAGTAGCGGCCGTCGGAGGCGCGCACGCGCAGCCGCAGCCGCGCGGCCAGCGCCGCCGGCCGCGCCACGCGCAGCGCGCCGTCCGCCGCCAGCGACAGCGCGCCCGCCTCGTCGCCCTCCAGCACGTCCAGCTTGAGCGCGCCGCCCGGCGGCAGGTCGGGGTCCGAGGCGGCCAGCCGCGCCACCACCACGCCCTCCGACGTCGGCAGCAGCACCGTCGCCTCGTACGAGGCCCGCTCGAACGCGGGCGGGCAGTCGTTCACGTCCGTCACGTCCACGGTCACCGTCGCCACGCTGTCCGAGGGCAGCCTGGGCGTGCCCGTGTCGACGACCTGCGGAGTCGATCGCGTCAAAGGACGGTAGGCTCTATGCGAATGAACGATTTGCGAATTCGATTCGATTCGAAAACTGACCCTGACGGTGAACCGGTGGGAGCGAGCGCGCTCGTAGTCGAGCGGCGCGGCGGTGTGCAGCGCGCCGGTGGTGGGGTCGACGCGGAACAGCGCGGCGGCGGCCGGCTCCAGGATCTCGTAGGCGCGCTGCTGGTGCGCGGCCGAGTCGGCGTCGTCGGCCTCCAGCACGAGCGGCGCGGCGCCCGCCTCGCTGTCCGCCGCCGCCACTAGCGCGCCCGCCGGCGCCGCCTCCGACACGCGGCCGCGGTAGGCGCCGCGCCGCAGTACGGGCGCGAACTCGTTGCGGTCCAGCACGTGCACCGCCACGGACAGCCGCGCCGCGCCGCCGCCCTGCGCACCGGACGGTCACGTTTTAGATCTTTACTTATTGTATCAATCACCGACATACGATACGGGAATACAAAATGCAACTACCTATTATGTTTACAGGTAACCGAACGATAAATCAAATCGTTATCGATGTAAACTAAAAAATTGTATCTAAGGCTAGTAAGATAAACCAAATATTGTCTACTAAGCTTGCACAAACCGTGTCACCCCACTTTACATTTTTGCCAGTGTTATATGTATCGTATTAACCGAGAACATCGTAAAATTAACCGCAACACTCACCATATTGTATGCGATGACAGTCAAATTGTAGAAATTCTTAGCTTCGTAGTCGAGCGGGGCTGCGGTGGTGAGTAGTCCCGCGGCGGGGTTGAGTCGGAACAGTCCCTCTCCGCCCTCGAGCGAGTACCACACGGTGGTGGCACTCCGCGCCTCCACGGTGGTCAGCGTGCTGCCTGCGGGCTCGTTTTCGTACACCTCGCAGACCACTTCGCCCGAAGAGAACCTGGAAACGGAGTAGAGGGATGCGGTGATCGATCGCGGCGGGGGACGAGGTGTTTGTGTTTATATTATTCATTTCTCTGGCGAGCTAGCAACAATTTTAATAAACTATCTAAAACAGTTAATATAGATCTATTTTTTAATAATATTAAATCAACGAGACACCAACTAAGTGAGCCCTTCTTTAAATAACAATTAATTATTATTGAAAATCATGTATATGTATATATTTCTATAAATTTACTATTTGTTACTGTACTCTTGTTAATTAATTTCATATTCTCTGTTAACTTTATAATGCCTTTATACGTAGTGATGTAAAACTTTTTAAGAATTAGTCTATTGTTATTAGTGAAAGCCTGTCAGTGGCTTACTGTGACATATATATTGACTTTATTTAAGATGTACTTGAATAGCCTTGGTTTTCCTTTAATAAATAAATAAAATAAATAAAAATTATTTTGTATCAGCATAACAAATGACGTTGTATTATTTCATGTATTTTTGTACTATGCATGGTAAAGATAATTATCAGATTTTATTTTTGTTTATATGATTGCATCAATATGAGCCGTAACTTCATTATCGTATTTTTATTTATCTAAATATATATAACTCAAAGGTGACTGACATAGTGATCTATCTACGCACAGCCCAAACTAGACGGATCGGGTTGAAATTTGGTATGCAGGTAGATGTTACGACGTAGGCATCCGTTAAGAAAGGATTTCGATTAATTCTACCCCCAGCCCCGGAGCGTCGTAACTTATAAAGCGTGAATGTGGTGCTCACTGCGGCGGCGCGTCGTCCGGCTCGACGACGAGCACGTGGAGCGGCAGCGTGGAGGCGCGGCGCGCGGGCGGCGGGCCGGCGGCGCGCACGTGGAGCGTGTACTCGCGCGGGCCGGCCGCCGGCAGCGCGCGCGACAGACGCACGTCGCCCAGCGCCGCGTCCACCGCGAACGCGCCCGCCGCGTCGCCGCCCGCCAGCGAGTACGCGACGCCCCCGCCCCCGCCCCCGCCCGCGTCCGCGTCCGCGGCCCGCAGCGCGGCCACCAGCGCGCCCGCCGGCGCCGTGCGCGCGAGCCGCACCTCGGCCAGCCGCCGGCCCCACTCGGGCGCGTGCTCGTCCTCGTCGCGCACGCGCACGGTGACGCGCGCGAACGCCCGCGACGCGCGCGGCGCCTGGTCGCGCACCCACACCGTCAGCTCGTGCACGGCCGCCGTCTCCCTGCGATATGCTTATTATTGCATGCCTTCTTTTCCTCAATATATTACGTAGTGTGTAAATACTACTCATTTCAGTATCGTAATGTATAGAGAAAAACATCAGATATTAAAATTAAATTAAATTTAAATTATTAACCGGGTCTTAACACGAATAATTTTATGGCAAATAAAGGTATCAGCGTCAGCTCGCGACCACGGCTAGTGCAACCTAGTCGAAACGTCGAGAGAGGTAAATACCTTTATTTGCCATAAAATTATTCGTGTTAAGACCCGGTTAATAATTTAAATGTAATTAAACACGAAACTTTAAAATTAACTAAATTAAATTTACAATTTTAAATAATCTTATTTACTGAGCAAAGCCTATTTATTACTCACAAAATGATTACTTGTACGACGAACATAGAGAGCATTAGTTATTCATACACAGGATTTTTATTTAATAGATAATTTAAAATAGACATTTATTTAAGTAAATAATGTAAATAATCTGGTTTTAAAAAAAGATTACAGAATATTTTTGTTTCAATTGAATTTGTACACTGAACTGGACGGTAAGAAAAAATTGTAATACTAATAATTTGACGTTCAGAACCGGCGAAAATATTCTACTTAAATAAATGATTTTAGAATTTGAATTTGATAGTTTGTATTTGTATTGACCCAAAATCGTAAATATGTAATGCTGAACATTCGTTTATAATAATAGCACACATATTTTTTTCTCGTTCTTGTCGTGACAAGTCCGCTTTCAGAACAAAGTATATATAGCGGCAAATATAATTTAGTATGGTGGTCATCGGGGTCGCACATAACCGTCGCTCACAGTTAGCAACACGTATACTACTTTTAAACGTGATGGAGTATAGAGTATATTTCTTGTGAGACCTGTCGAGCGGGTGCGCCAGCTCGAGCACGCCGGAGAGCTCGTGCAGCCGGAACAGCGCGGCGGAGGCGGGCGCGCGCGCCGCGTGCAGCCCGAACAGCAGCCGGCCCCGGCCCGCGGCCCGCAGCGCGGCCAGCGGCGCCTCCGTGCGGCCCGCACCCGCACCCGCACCCGCACCCGCACCCTCCGCCACCTCCACCGCGTACTCCTCGCGGGAGAACGACACGCCCTCCTCGTTCGCGTCGTTGATCACACTGATGTTCACCTGCGACCTCGATTCGTTGAGACCACATTCCAATAGTCTGATTTTTAATCCGGTAAATTCAAATTTTCAAGTAATATTACCACCTATAGCGAGATGGTGGTGTATCTGCGATACCGAATTATATAATCCGGAAATTTGAATTTAACATATTAGTTTTAAAGCTTTAACATATATAACAGTTTTTACACTACTGTGTGTTTTTACATTAGTGCCACAACCCTATGTAAAAATTCCAATAGCCTGGTAAAATCGGAAATGTTGAATTTGTCTCCGGAATTAAAACACAGACTATAGATTAAAACTGTAACGTGGCGATAGGGTTATCTGATATAAACTTATCAAATCCGCAACAATTTCAGGATAACGGTGTCGAATCGCGACCATAGTAAAAAGTACCTTGTTTTTTTTACTTTGAAACGATTTACATAAGAGGAAGTCGACGCGGGTCGTACTGAGTGAACGGATTTTGTTTGCGCTCCAGATACTTAAATGATTTTAAATATAAAAGTTAACTTTCACTATAAAAAATATATACGAACATAGTTTACTATCAAGAATTTAATATTTGTACGGACTGTATTGACTAAAGTGAAACTATATAGTGCTAAAGGACAAATTATGAAGTGACACAAATCGAGTACATTGCAAGTCGTTTTTCAATATACCCTCAATAGAGTGACGTTAACGATACTTATAACAATTACTGCCTGATTCTGCTGGATATTTTAACTAAATATTTATTGACAAAAGAAAAATAAATATGTCAAAGAAAAATAATAATATTACATGCGCCGGGTGTTTGGGAAATATTGAGAGCAGACGCTATTTGATTTGCAGCTCATGTAAATTACATTACGACCTAGATTGTGCCAACATACCAGAAGCTCGATTTTATAATACTATGACACAAAAACACAAAGACTTCTGGAAATGTGTCTCATGCAAATCAAAGATACCAAAAAAAGATAACACAAATACGCCGATCAGATCGGACACTGGTAATGTCACACAACGACGAGGTGGCGGTATATCCACACCAGAGAGCTCTCCTGCTTCTACACATGCAGAAGACACGGCAACAAGTAATGAAACACTACTTATAGAAATGCGACTTTTTAGAAAAGAAATGCAGGAGACGCGAGCACGGATCGAGGTATTTAATGAGACCATCAATAAGCTAAACTTAAGAATGGATATATGTGAAGACCGCATGGAAAAATTAATTGCACGTGTCGAAAAAATAGAGAATCGAGTTGATACTGATACAACAACACAAAGCAACACTACTCTGTCAGAATCTATTGAACAACTAAAGGCCGAACTAAACGAAAGAGATCAGGATCTTTTGCTTAATGATCTTCAGATCTCAGGTATACCAGAACAAAACAATGAAAATGTTACGCATGTTGTAATGAATGTAGCTGCTAAGCTAGGCGTACAATTAGCGGATCAAGATATTGTCAGTGCTATACGGATAGGAAGTTTATCTAAGCCTGATGAAAGTGACAAAAACCGACGACCCCGTCTTATGGTAGTGCGGCTAGCACGTCGCGTTTTACGTGATCAACTATTGCAAGCTGCACGGGTCAGACGAGGTGCTACTACAGAAGGTATGGACCTACCCGGACCACCACGAAAATTCTACATTAATGAAAGGTTGACACTAAAAAACAGGCAGTTATTTCAAAAGGCTCGAGAAATGGGTATTCGTAATAACTGGCGATATATTTGGACAGCAGCCGGTAAAATTTTTGTACGACAACGCCAAGGCAAGGATGAACCACGTTTTCGTCTAAGAACAGAGTCAGATCTCATTAGGGTTTTTGGATCAGAAGCGATTGGCTCGTAAATATTTGTTTTGTTTTCTTTTTATTTTCTTTCTTTTTGTTATTTATATGATAACAAGCTTTGATGTATTTTTCATTATTTGCCAATGTTTTACAGGTAGAAAAGTTATTGTATATACATGTAATGTAATATATATGTATTTGTCAATTATATACATTTTGATATCCAATAAAGTTCACAGTATATTTGCAACTAAACTTTTGAACATCTCGTATTGTGAGCCAGTAAAATCTAAACGTTGTATCAAATTCACGCTATTCAGGGCTTGTCTCAATTATACGATTAGGCTAGCTGAATATAAAAAATGATTTTTAATAAATCAATCAGTTTTAATGTAGGTCTTATAAATGCACGGTCATTAAACACTGGCCAGGACGAACTAGTAGCAGCAGTCGAGAATTACAGGCCTGATATTCTAGCCATCAACGAGACGTGGTTAAGAGATGATCAGGGAAAGCTAGCGCCGAAAATACCAGGTTACGTTTTTAAACATAAAGCGAGAAAAACAGGAATGAGAGGGGGAGGTGTCGGTTTTTATTATAGACAGGAACTACGAATTCGAGTCCTACAACATCCATCATCGGATTTAGAGCAAATGTGGTTAGAATTGCGTGTTGATGGAGCGGGTCGTTTAGCCATAGGAACAGTATATAGACCAGAATCAATTTCAGTAGATAGCGCTGTTGAGAATCTGTGTAACTCACTGGATATCTTTACTGGGTATAATTCTGTTTACATATTAACAGATTTTAATGTTAATATCAAGGACACCGCGACCTCATCCTCATCTGCGTTAACTACTTTTCTTTTCCAACGGAATCTTCACCAGCTCGTGACAGAACCAACAAGGGTAACTAATAATACTTCCACACTGATTGATCTCATAATTACTGATACACCGAATTTATGCCATGGAGTTGATGTTCTTCATAATCCGCAGCTTAGCGACCATGCCTTGATAATAGCCCGACTTAAAATAATAAAACCACACCAAACACCGAGATACATATATAAAAGATTTTTAGATAATATTAATATTAGTCAATTTAATACAGACCTTGACAGCCTGGACTGGGATAGTGTAAATACTGGTGATTCTTTAGATGAAAGAGTTAATCGATTCAATGATCTAATCAATGTTTTATTCGATGTTCATGCTCCGGTTAAAAAAATACGTATTAATAATAATAAGCCACACCCGTGGATTACCAACAACATTAGGATCATGATGAGACTACGTGACTCTGCACTACGTAGGGCACATATATCGAGCAAAGAAAGCCATTTGGATTACTATAGAGATCTTCGAAACTATACCAATGGAGCCCTGGACCATGAAAAAAAAGCTTATTTCACATTTTATATTAATAATAATAGGAACAAACCCAATCAGATGTGGCGTCATTTAAAGCAAATATCAAATATAGGTAATATGGATGAGTCGCCAATACCACAGCATCTGACGGATCCAGATCTAATTAATAATTTCTTCCTTGACATCCCGTGTAACCAAGATAATAATTTAAAAGCCAATTTCAAGGCAAGAAATATCGTAGACAATCAATTTAATATAAGAACATCTGATGAAAGTAATATTATGAAAATGATTTCCTCAATCCATACTAAAGCGTGTGGACATGATGGGATAACTATCGAAATGCTGAAAATGACATTGAAAGCTACGCTGCCAATTATTACAAACTTAATTAACGATTCAATCACATCCAATTACTTTCCACAACAATGGTCACTTGCTAAAGTAAAACCTATTCTAAAAAGATCAATTGTTAATGATTTAAAGGATTTACGACCGATCAGTCTTCTTCCAATTCTATCCAAAATTATAGAAAAGATTGTCTATGAACAGCTCTCGAGTTATTTAGAAGATAAACAATTGCTGCCGAAACTACAGTCAGGATTCCGGAGCGACCATGGGACGGCATCTGCTCCCTCTAAGGTCACTGATGACATACTCACAGCATCTGATGAGGGCAAAGCAAGTATACTGGTACTGTTAGACTTTTCACGCGCCTTTGACTGTATAAATCATCGGCTCCTTTTGGAAAAAATGGCGTATTATGGAGTGTCACCGGCAGCATGTAATTGGTTTGGGTCATTTCTGGGAGGTAGACGCCAGTACGTAGAATTACAGACAAGTGATGGCATAATAAAGAAATCTCAAATAAAGTCAGTCAACAAAGGTACGCCACAGGGCTCCATATTGAGTCCTCTCTTATTTATAGTGTACACGTCAGATCTCCCTGCTATTATCGGTCACTGTCGGTTGCATCTCTATGCCGATGATACTCAACTTTACTATTCCTTTTTGCCAGAACATCTCAGGCAAGCAGAAATTGACATAAATGAAGATCTTGATTCTCTCTTTAAATGGTCTGAAAACAACCAGCTTGTCGACCTATAGTTATCGCCAATTATAATTTTAAGATGTAGTTTAACTTAAAACTTTGGTAGTAAGTCTACAATCAAATTAGTAGTTTTTTAGAATTCAGGACACTAAGGTCTAATAACTGGACACGAGATGCAAAATTCCGGGATAATACCGGGTTTCTCGGACATCTGGCAGGCCTATGTGGTGATGGTGATGAAAAGCGGGACCTACCGGTGTGTAGATGGTGTTCGTGCCGTCCGTGATGGAGACGTTGAGTACGTAGTGCGACTGCCGCTCCCACAGCAGCCGGCGGGCCAGTATCAGGCTGCCGTCCTCGCGTCCTATGTAGAACTCTTGACGGTCGTCACCACCTGAAATATCACGTTTCATTATAGCGATAGTAATGATTATTTTAATTAGTTGTTTTTAATTGACCGAACGTAAGGTAAAGACCGATCACTTCACCTGACATAATTTCTGTATAAAAATAAGCAATTTTCGCGATTTCATTATCCGTTACTCTGTAAGGATGTATGTACTTAGTAAATAGGTAGTATATAAGCGTTGATTATAATAATAAATGAGGCAGTATACACTCAAACGTCGTGCCTATCATTCGCTTAACAAGCAGCACCTTTATACGGCGATCCTGGCATGGTTTTAGATTTCAAGAAGAATATATCTCGTGCGGTAACAGCAGCAAATAAAATACTTGTATTTGTTTAACAAGCACAACCCTTATAATGCGTCCGTTTAAGAGTTTACTTCTGAATGTGCCTGTTCATTGTTTGTACTTTTACTTTACTTATAGATAATTGAACGTTTGAAATTACATAACATAGTGGTATATTAGGGACGGTCGGATATCACATTAATAGTATCTATTTTTGACATAAATAAATTAGAGTGTAAGTATGGTAAGGAGTGCGGTCTCACCGACGACGTCGTAGTAGAGGCGGTCGCCGTCGGGGTCGTTGGCCTGCAGCACGGCCAGCAGGAACCCGGGCGCGTCCAGCTCGGCGGCGGTGAGGGGCGGCGCGGGCGCGGCGCGCGGCGCGCCCCCCCCGCCCGCCGCCGCGCCCCGCACCGCCGCCCGCGACACCGCGCACCGCGCCGCCGCGCCGCCGTCGCACGCGCGCACCTGCGCCGCGCCAACACATCACTAGCCATCGGACGCCGCTCCGATATAGTTCGGTGAAGCCGTGAAGGCCGGCTACGGCCAAGAGCGTCGGAACGGTGCCACAGTTCGACTCCTCGCACGATGCATATTATATACTTGCCGTACCCGTGACTTCGTCCGCGTAAAATTGTGACCACCCAATAAAAGCCAAATGAAAAAATTTCATCGTTTCATCTTCAAAAATCACGACACTTCCATACATAACTCTTTCAACCTCTTATAACTCTTTTTCTAAATATATATTGAATAAATAGGCTAAATATTAAACAACGTTGGGTAACATTTTTAAAAACTTTGTATGTCATATTTATTTATATTTAATAAACAGCCTCAAATATAAGTTTCAATCTTCTAGCTTCAAAAATGTCGATTCTTCCATACAATTTTTCATCCCCAATTTCAACCCCTCACAATCCTTTTTTCGCATTAAAAAGTAGCCTATGTCCTTTGTCAAGATCTAGACTATCTGTGTATACTGGTTCAGTAGTTTTTGCGTGAAAGCGAGACAGACAGAGGTACTTTCGCATTTATAATATTAGCGAGGAGCAAGGAAGTAAGGATTTAAAAAAAAGTATTAAAGTGACGTATGAATGTCGGGTTCGGGTAATGGTGTACTGACAACGAGCTCGTGCAGGTCCCCCGGCGCGAGTGCGAGCCCGGGCGCGGCCAGCAGGCGTCCGGTGCGGGCGTGCACCCGCAGCCGGCCGCGGGCGGCGCCGCGCGCGCGCGCACTGTACCGCACGGTGCCGTTCTCGCCCGCGTCCGCGTCCAGCGCCAGCACCTGCACGCCGCACGCGTATCGTTATGAAGATCCTTAACTTTTTTTGTTAATCTTATTTTGACATCACGTCGAGAGGGAGGGCGTGGTTACGCTCCATGATATGTACGGTACCATGATATGTACGGTACCATGATTATGGTCGTTATGCATTGACACCCCTCCCGGCTGATTCACTTGTGATGTCTTAGCTTACGCCGCGTACGCATGGTTTATATATGTTCATAATAAAAGTGATTGAATTCCTGAGCTCACTGTAACGGTTTGGGCCCACAGAAGAACGAGTATACTGATGTTGTGGTGAGTCATTCATATTTGACCGGCCAGTTCCTATATTAATATATAGTCTATCGAAGAAGCGTATACCGTAGCCATCGCCGCATCAACAATACTTCACGACGATTCCGTATACAACGACTAGCAATCCTGTTCCTAGAATTAAATGTAATATTTCAATCCACTCTTGAGACCCATGAGGGTCCGCAAACCAATGAGGTTTACGTCCCCACTAACATACATTTAAATTAATAAATGTCAAATCAGTCTACGTCCCGACTCCACGTCGAATGTACGCGTTAGTAATAAACCATGTAACAATTAGTTCACTTGTATACTCACTACCTAGACTATACAATAAACGATATTGTACCGACAACCGCACGTGCCTGCTTACTGTGCAATACACAATTACTGGCACATACAATTTCACCTCATAATGCATTTCATCTCATTACATTTCTTTTACCAATAAAATCAATGCTACTCGCATTCAATCGAGGGTGTTTTATTTAGTAAAAAACCCCTCATCAATAAATATTCAACTAATATCATTATCACGGAACTGTGAGCTTAAACACCCACATTCTTTGGTCCTTCGAGCCGAAATTATGTAGCGACACCTCATCATATAAATAACGCTACAGTGGTGAGGTGATCACTACCGCACTACAAAAAAATAATTTATCATTGTACAACACTATAATAGACCGAAATGTAACTGTTACAGGTCACTAACCGTCGCTAGGTAGGTGCCGGTGTAGTCGTCGTCGTCGAACGTGTCCCAGGCCAGCCGCGAGCCGGCGTCGTCGTCGTCGACGTCCGCGTCCACGTCGGCCTCGCTGTCCGCGTCCCACTCCGCGCTGGCGTCGTCGCCCTGCACACACACACACACACACACTCACACACACTATAAAGGGAACTATTCTTTTTTTTTTATAGAGTTTCTTGTCAGTTCTTGTCATCTTGAAATTATTCCAAACTGACAGGACTGATTGACTGACTGGTAGATTTGACATATCATAAGAATCTGTAATAGACATTCATGAATAGATATTTTTAATTTATAATTTTATATATACTAGCCTATGAATGTCTGAGACACCAGCGGTGATGGTGTGCGTTACCGACCCTAAATTATAATATTCACAAAAAGTTGTGAGACCTGCGGCAGGGCGAGGTCGGGTGTGTCGGGTGTGTCGGGCGTGGCGAGCGTGGCGGGCGGGACGGGCACGCGGAAGTCGTAGGAGCGCTGACTGAAGGCGGGCGCGTGGTCGTTGATGTCCAGCACATTCACCACGACGCGCGCCGTGGTGGCCAGCTCCCCGTCCGAGCACTGCACCTCCAGCGCGTGTGTGGCCGCCGTCTCGCGGTCCAGACTGCGGCCAGTCGTCACGATTTCACCTGCACACGTACATCGTCCACGGTCATACTCCGGCCGAGCCGGAGATTACTTTAACTTTATATTTACGTATCACCATAATCATCATCGCAGCCCAGAAGACGTCCACTGCTGGACATAGGCCTCCCCCAAAGATCTCCTCGACAATCGGTCCTGCGCTACTCTCATCCATCCATATTTACGTGTAATAAAATGTTATTATTTAAATTAAACGTGGTTGGAGGGCATATGATGAAATGCTCACAAAATAATACTGAAAATATAAATTATAGAGAGTCGTCAATATTATGTTAGGCGACCCGCGCTCGTGCCGGCGGCTGCGTGCTCGGGGCGGTACCTGTGTGGCGGTCGATGGAGAAGAGTCCGTCGGGGTTGCCGGCGACGATGGAGTAGGCGAGGGGCGACGGGCGCGGCGCGTCGTCCGCGTCGTGCTCGGGGCGGTACCTGTGTGCCGGTCGATGGAGAAGAGTCCGTCGGGGTTGCCGGCGACGATGGAGTAGGCGAGGGGCGCGGGGCGCGGCGCGTCGTCCGCGTCGTGCTCGGGGCGGTACCTGTGTGCCGGTCGATGGAGAAGAGTCCGTCGGGGTTGCCGGCGACGATGGAGTAGGCGAGGGGCGCGGGGCGCGGCGCGTCGTCCGCGTCGTGCTCGGGGCGGTACCTGTGTGCCGGTCGATGGAGAAGAGTCCGTCGGGGTTGCCGGCGACGATGGAGTAGGCGAGGGGCGCGGGGCGCGGCGCGTCGTCCGCGTCGTGCTCGGGGCGGTACCTGTGTGCCGGTCGATGGAGAAGAGTCCGTCGGGGTTGCCGGCGACGATGGAGTAGGCGAGGGGCGCGGGGCGCGGCGCGTCGTCCGCGTCGTGCTCGGGGCGGTACCTGTGTGCCGGTCGATGGAGAAGAGTCCGTCGGGGTTGCCGGCGACGATGGAGTAGGCGAGGGGCGCGGGGCGCGGCGCGTCGTCCGCGTCGTGCGCGCGCACGGTGAGCACGCGCGTGCCGGCGGGCGCGTGCTCGGGCAGCGCCGCGCTGTACGCCGCGCGCTCGGGCCACGGCACCATGTCGTTCACGTCCTCCACCTCGACGTACACCTGCACACACGCACCGCTGCATACGCACTCTCGCTCCCGTCACAACACCACACCACACGGCGTCTCGAGAGATACTTTTTTTTTTCGGGATTAATTGAAAGTCAGTATCGTAGCTGTAGTGACGGCATAATGTTGAGATGGGATCTTTACACATTTCGCAGGGACGCGGTGGCGATGTTGCACAATAATATGATATTATATTTTTCGTTGTAACTGCTGTTCATTGGGTTTGTATATTTACTGGTAAATCCTTTATTTGTTTGCTGTGAGTGTCGATATTGTTCTATCGTACTGTGTGTTGTATTAAATTAATCTAATACAATTTTTGTTAAATTCCACTACCATTAGCATGAGTGAGTACAAATTAGCATCGGTGATGACCGATGACGCTGTGTACAGTTAACACTAGGCTTCCAAGTTACTTATATCTCGTTCCGAAACGAAACACTAGTCGTACTATAGGTATGAACTCAATAAAGAGAAGAGAAGTATATGATCACCAATAGTGAAGGTGGTAACACTTTCAGTAGTGATGATCAAATAGTATTCAATAAAACATGTCCTTACCTGTATGCAGGAGTGGCGTGGAATCAAGCCGTGGTCCTGGGCGCAAACCGTCAACCAGTAGTGAGGCACCGTCTCTCGGTCCAATGGTGTCAGTGTGCGAATGATGCCTGCAATAAAAATTAACTATTTTAAATGTTAAAATTGACATGAAAAATGAATCACCGCCGGTAGAAGCTTCACGTTTGTGAAAAAATTAAGTGTATTTTTGATTGATGCTCAAGTATGATCATAGAGTGTTTGAACTTCCACAGGCGGTGGTCAGCTCCTCTTATCGAATGTGTCTATTTCCACAGGTGCTATTACTGCTTACAGTACTACTTGTGTGGTAAAACAACATACATCATGTTCGGTAACTAATACCATATTCGATGAAGTATTTATGCAATCATAAATATTTATATGATCAAATTACAATATAAATATTCGAACAAGATTGAATTGACAAATTTCAGTAAAGTGTCATTAAATGCTAATAAGATGTGTCGATCAATCGATAGTCATTGATAAAATATATGTATTATAAAGTATGAGTGATAATGGATCACTAGTAATAGGCTGCTTTTACATACATGTATGCTCTTTTACGTGCAATTCTGCATTCACGTAGGAAATAATGTGCATGTAAATGTAAATAAAGATAACGAGATAGTGAACACAAAATGTCCACGCGCGCGCTGGCTTTCCCGGGTTCGCTCTCCTAATCGCGCATAAGTAAGTAAGGAAGTCGTTTATTTGCATTATAGACAAGATAAGTAAACAATTAAGCCACAGTGATGATATCAGCGCATGCAAACTTTTATAACTACGCCTAAGAGAACGTGTCGTGTAAAGGTAGGTAGTGAGTGACCGCGGTGTCTGGCAGCGTACCGGTGTCGTCGATGGAGAAGTGCGCCATGCCGGAGCCGCCCACGAGGTAGTAGGCGAGGCGCGAGTCGCGGCCGGGCGGGTCGGCGTCGGCGGCGGCGGCCGTCACCACGACGGCGCCGCGCGCCGCGTCCTCGCGCACGGCGCCCGCCACCACCGCGTGGTCGGCGAACAGCGGCGCGTGCGCGTTCTCGTCCACGTCCACCACCTCCACGATCACCGTCGCCTCCGCCCACAGCGCCGGCCGCCCGCCGTCCGTCGCGCGCACAGTCACCCCGTACACCTGCACCACCACCTTATATACTTATGTTGTAGAGACGTGACGTGAAATAAATGTTCATTCATTCATCGTTATTGATCATTAATTTTTTAGTTAACGCGTTATCTAGTACTTAGGAATAATATAATATATGTAATCACCTGGCGCTCCTCGAAGTCCAGTCGTTTGGCGGTACGTAGAGTCCCCGATGTACTGTCCACTGTGAATACCGTTTCGTCGGAATCCGATAGAGAGTAAGCGATGACGCCGCCTGCGCCGAGGTCCGGATCGAACGCCTCGAGAACGGCGACCAAGGTGCCGACGGGCACGTCCTCGCGTATTCGTGCGCCGTATGCGCTCAGCCCGAAGTGGGGTGCGTTGTCGTTTACGTCGTCCACGGTGACGCGTACGAGAGCTTCGGCGAAGAGGCCGCCGCCGTCTGTCGCTCGAATTACGAGCTCATAGAGCGCTCGACGCTCTCGATCCAGCGGCGCGCACACAGATAACACTCCAGTGTCTCGTTCCACACAGAATTCGTTCTCTCCTTCACCGGTACTACTCAAGCTATAGCTGATGCGAGCGAAGTCGCCTATATCTCGATCGGTTGCGTTGGCACGGAATATCGAAGTGCCGTTGAGGGCATTTTCCGTGACTCTAAAACTGGCAAGAGTTTTTTCGAAACGCGGCTTATTGTCATTGACGTCCAGAACGGTGATGGGCAAAAGTCTTGATGCCGAACGTCTCGGAGAGCCTAAATCGTACACGGTTACATTCAAATAATATTCACTTTCGCGTTCACGATCTAAGTAACCGATCACTTGGAGATCGCCAGTGTCTGGAACGATACGAAAAGCAGAATCAGAATCGCCGCCGGATATGCCATATGTCAATAATCCATTGTAACCTAAATCTCGATCTTGCGCTCGTAACAGCACAAGAGAAGTACCGAGAGCAACTGACTCATTAACTTTTACTTCGACTGGGAAATCGATAAATTCTGGTGCATGTAGGTTTTCTCCGTATCGTGATGGTGCCAGTGGAAATTCATCAGTTAAATCTATAGGAGCATTACTTCGTTCTGCTGCTGCTAGAAGTTCAGTCAAGCTTCGAGCGACGCCTGTGTCTCGACATTCTAAAGGTGTAGATTCTCCACCACTGCCACCAACTAAATGCAATGTTAGAGATATTGGATCCGAAAAATGTGTGCCATCCGTAGCCGTTACATTAAGAACTTTTGTTTCAGCACGAACATCACCTAAATCACAAGATAAGCTCACCACTCCTGTGCCTGAATCTAAGGCGAAACAATTATCATCATTGCCCCCAGCAACGCGGTAAGATACAACATCGCCAGCATCAAAGTCGATTGCAGAGAGGGTAATAATTTCAAAACCTATCGACGTACGGCGAGATAAGTACCCCACACAATCTACGCGTTCAAATTGAGGTCTGTGGTCGTTTACATCTTTAAGCTGTACAGTCAGCCGCATTTCAGCTTGACGACGGTAAGGAAGTCCCCAGTCACTTGCGCGAATACGCAGAATATATTCTCGACGCATGCTTTCGTAATCTAGCAACCGTGTTGTACGAACCGCACCTGAAAAATGGTCCACTTCAAAGGGTACTGGCTGTAAATTTGCAATACTGTAAGATATGTAGGCATTTTCACCAGAATCAGCATCTCTAGCTACAACACGAGCCACTACTGTGCCACTTGCACCATTTTCTGGAATAGTCACTTCCATTTCGTTTTGTTCGAAAATAGGATCATTGTCGTTTGAATCTAAAACAGTAATTTTTACTTTTGCCGACGACTGTTTACGTGTACCAACATTACCCTGATCGATAGCAGAAACGGTGAGGGTGTAAAGAGCCTTCTCCTCGGCATCGAGTGGGACAGCAGTATAAAGTACACCAGTATCTGGATTTACTAAGAACTCGCCGCCTTCGTTTCCACCAACAATCTCTATATAAACACGAGCATTGTTACCTTCGTCGCGATCACTAACCTTAAGTCTAATCACTGGAGTATTTGGCGGTACAGTTTCAGCAATACTGGCTTCATACACTTCCCGACTGAAAACTGGTGCATTGTCATTAGCATCAGTCAACGTTACTGGTAATGTAAGATATGAGGAACGCGATGGGTGTCCAGCGTCGGTGGCACGAAGAGTTAAATTGTAACCACGCGGTGCACTTTCTCGATCGAGGAGTGCGTGCACGACGATATCAAATTCGCCGGCCTGTAGAGAAGGTCGCACTCGAAAGTGTCCATCGGGATCACCATCCACTATTTCGAGACTAGCTATTCGACCGTGCTCCCCCGAATCACGATCGCTCACTTCTACGATGGCATAGATCTCAGCAGTAGAATTTTCAACGAGTTCGGGTAATCGACGTACATGCAGTTCTGGAGCGTGCAAATTGACTTCCGCCACTCGTACAACGAGCGTGGCGCGGGCGGCGGGTGCGTCCTCACCTCGCGTGAGCAAAGAAGCGCGGTCGCGAGCCAGTACGGTTAACTCGTGGCGTTTGTTTTCAGCGGCAGACAGAGAGCGCGTGATAGTCACCACACCACTCGTCGGATGCACCGAAAACCTGTCAGAGGGATCGGCTAAACTATAGTAAATTTCTCCATTGAGACCGAGATCTGCATCTTCCGCCGTGACACGGGCGATGCTGGAATGTACGGGTGTGTCTTCCGGTACCGAAGCGTCATATTCGGTCGGATAGAAAAGCGGACTGAGATCGTTCTCATCGGCGACGGTGACATCCACGAGGGTGTCGGCTTCGAGTTGTCGATTCGGCGGTAAAATAACGGTGGCGTGTACTTCGAGACGATATAGATCACGGCGTTCTCGGTTCAGTACGTCGGCGTGACCGGCACGCGTGCGTATGGAGAGGAAACAGAAGTCCCCGACGATACGTTCTTCGGCCTTAAAAAACTTGTCCTTGTCGCCGTGTCGTATCCTGAACCGGCAGCGGGCGCCGGGCAGCGCCAGCCGCACGCCGAGCGGGTCGTCGGCGGGCGGCTGCAGCGCGTACGTGCGCGGCGGACTGTTCTCCGGGACGGTGACGTTGTAGAGCGCGTGCGCGAACAGCGCGCCGGCGGGGGGCGAGGGGGCGGCGGAGGCGGCGGAGGCGGCGGGGGGCGGGCCGGGCCCCGCGCGGGCGCACCACGCCACCGCCGCCAGCACCAGCCACGACTTCGCGCCCAGCATCTTCCGCTAAGTATTGTTCTGCAACGACAACCACACCACAATTGCAAATAGATTCCACGATTCATCTCTAGGATAGATTATAGAAGCAACTTTACCGTACTATTATTCTGTACGGGATATATATACATGCTCGTATATATATCGTAAACGATATAGATATATAGCCGTGTGTTCCAGTCATCATTAAAAAACAGCAAACGTATAAAAGACTACAATTAAAAGAATATTAGCGATGAAAAGTGGTATTTTGAAATGTCGACAATCATTTACAAAAAAATGATTAAAATAGTGCCAGAAACCACTTAAACAATCAAATCGAAATGCATTTTTTTTGTAAATATAAAACGATTCTAATTGTAACACTTTAGTACAGTGAAGAGGGAGTATCACCTCATAGAGTGGTGTCGGTGAGGGCCGTGTGGCCGGTGTGTGGTGCGGGCGGCGGCCGCCCGGGACCAGCTGCTGTCACCTTCCTCGCATGTCTGCAACACACAACAAATGTACATGTTACAAAACACTATTACGGTTATCTACACTAAAAATAATTAACAAAACATTTAGACATTTTTTTTTATTTAATTAATTTCTATGCCAAGCAAACAAATTTAATAATATATAAAACTTAAAATATACTTAAATATGTATTTTTATTTATTTTTCATCAGATAAGCTACAATTGGCAATATGTTTATTATTAAAATAATATAAATATTAATAGCCATTATTTATAGTTTAATACATATAAATAACTAGCTTTTGCTCGCGTTAATTTATCCCTTTAGGGGTAGAAATTATTGAAATCCTTTTTAGGGGATGCTACGTCATAGTAGCTTTATGCATGCAAAATCTCAGCCCGATCGTTTTAAAATTGATAAAGTTTCATACAAACTTTCATCCACTATTTTATCCTCTTGGGGGTAGAATTAATCAAAGTCCTTTCTTAGCGGATGCCTACGTCATAACATCTACCTGCATGCCAAATTTCAGCCCGATCCGTCCAGTGGTTTGGGCTATGCGTTGGTAGATCACTATGTCAGTCATCTTTGAGTTATATATATATATATATATATCCTTACTTCCTTACTAATATTATAAATGCGAAAGTAACTCTGTCCGTCTGTCTGTCTGATCCTAAGAAAGGACATAGGTTACTTTTTAATGTGAAAAAGGGTCGCAAGAGGATTGAAAGGGTAGATCCAAGGTTATATATGTAGATGTATCGTCATGTTTAAAGCTAGGAGCTTGAAATTTATTTTTTAGCCTATTGATTAAATATTTATTTTTATTTTTTATCATTTTTGAAGCTAAAACGATGAAACTTATTTTTTTTACTTATATTGTGTTAATTGAGTTAAATATTTTTTCATTATTTACGCGGACGAAGTCGCGGGTACAGCTAGTAATATATGTATTTAGATTGCTCGGTTGGGAAGCCTGTAAATGCAGTTCGGGCGCTACGAGGTGACATTTTGAAACCCTGCATTTTTATGTATTCGAAAATAGATAACTAAATAAGGATATTCAATTGGTTTGTGCTTCAGACTTCGGAGAGCAATGGTTCCTTCAGTTATTTACATCGTATTAGTCTAACAATGAACTTAACACCAGATGACGCGATACCGTCCCCACACCACCAGGAAACATGCCGCGGAAGTTTCAGAAAGGTCTCAATGTCAGCGATGTTAAATAGCAACTACGATAATTATGAAACTTCGTTGTTCCAGTCCGGCACAAGTTTGTTAATTGCAGACAAGTTATGCAATATTGCGATATTGGGCCAAATGTGGACGTGGTCTTATGTTAGGGCGCATGTTGAACGGGAACTTGGTCATACTCGTATAACGTGACTAATAGTGTTCAATTGAACTGAAAATACTATACACAGATGTGATGCCAGTGTCTGAGTATCTAGTGAAATATTTTTAATTTAGAATACAAGCCGAATGGAGAATACATTCTTTTGTGTCAAATAAAATCAAATTGTTGAAATATATAAATATCTTTATTCAGGTCTATTACAGACTCTTATGATATGTCAAATCCACCAGTAGTGTCCCATCAATGTATTATACGAGATCTATAATTTCTGGATTTTTAAGTTCTACTTACTGGCTGACTAGCTGTACACGCGACTTCGTCCGGACGAAGTCGCGTGTACAGCTAGTCAGTTTAAGTTTTTACTACATGCGTATGAATATAAATACATTACATACACCAAAATAACATTTTTTACAAAATGTATGTCTGTCTGTCTGTCTGTTTGTTCCGTCTAATCTCTGAAATGGCCGAACCGATTTTAACGGGACTTTTTTTGGCAGGTAGCTGATGTAATAAGGCTATGTAAGAGTAACTTAGGCTACTTTTATTTTACAAAAATTAAGTTAAATTCCACGCGGACAAAGTCGTGTGTACAGCTGGTTTATTCTATATCAACTCACAAGAGATAGAGTCATTAGTTCTCGGACGTATTGCATAGTAGGTACGGAAACGATGGCACGTTGATTTTGCATATTGATGGGCAAGCAACTCAAGACGGTTCCTGATGAGATTATGCCGACTAGATATATGCCGTTAACCTACATCAGCCGCGGACCGTGAGCCGGCCTGAACTAACTACGTTGGTTCCTGATGATGTGCTCCTACATGACTATGTATATTGATTTATCTTAATAGTGATTTATAATAATAATATCTCAGGACAATTCACACAGCGCCATCTAGTCCCATGCTATGCAGAGCTTGTGATACGGATACTAGACAACTGATATATATACAAGGATACATTTTTTTTTGTAAAATTAGACATATTTTGACTTTTGATTTACGATTTAACAGTTTTCCATGAGACAAGATCATACATTGTTCGACCTGGCAATTGGCTGTCTCTTGGTAATGTTTACAGTGTCCAAGAATATTTAAGTAAAACGTACATTTTCATATAATTTGCATGCCTATATGTTAAATGTTGATGATCAATCAATTTTATGTGACATCATATTTACTGTATTAATATTTCGCAAATAAATTCTTCTTATTCGATTCGCTCTTGTCAGAACGGTCGTGGTCGAAACTATCGGATATCGGATATGAAAAAATATTTGTAACCGTAACCGAAACCGAAATAAAAGATCCGGATAGGGGCGGAGCTTAATTGAGACACGTTATGTAAACATTTTATTAGCTGTTTGTAAAATACAATTTATACTTTTAAAATTCCGTAAAAAATAATATACGTAACCGAAATTATCCGAAACTAACGGATAATCCGAAATAATTTCATATCGGCATCAAATTCAAAATATCTTAATTCATGTAGGTCTATTACAGGCTCTTATGATATGTCAAATCTACCGTCAGTTCGGAATGATATCGAGATGAGAAGAACTCACAAGAAACTCAACTCGTATTTTTTTTTCAAATAATTTGGAAGAATAGAGTGACCTCCTGCATATGCTATCGCAAAGAACAAAAAATTTAATCAGTGTTCACAACCTGAACAGACCAGTCCCCACAAGCATCCGTATCCGTATCCGATATAATAATCATTCCTATATCCGAAATTTCATATCCATAACATCCTAGGTCATTATGTACCTAGTAGAGTTAGAGGCAGATGTCATCCGCCGTATAAATCTATCTCCATACCTCAGTCGTGTCAGTAGCCATAATTCTCTGAAATGGCTTAACCGAATTTTATGAATTGTTATGTCTACTCGGTAGGTCTGAGAATAGTTCTTTTATGTATGATAATGGAATGGTGCACTCGCCTACACTAACAGTTTACGCTGGCGGGGCACCAGTGGAGGATGATAAGATGAACATGAAACATGAGGTCAGGTCAGTTAGCCCATCGTGACAAATTCACCAAGAATTTATCACGATGGTTTCCAGAGGGCACCGCGGAGGTTAACCCGACATACATTGCTAGCAATAAGATCATCAGTCAGAGAATATGCAGGTGGTTAACTAGTTTTAATACCCTTAAGTGATAACGTATTTTTTTTGTATAAAATTATTTTATTGTGGCACAAAAAATACATACACTCCTCAATTTGTACCATTCTGCCACCAACCCCAATTTTTTAATAACGATCTAAATTTATGTAGCAAAATAACGATTGCCGGGTCAGCTAGTTGCTATAACTTCCTTGGTGAAGGTTATTTATGTTTACCAGCTCAGCCTCAAGTGTTTTGGAGACAAAATCAATATATGTACATACATTCCTGTCATCATGCGAGATAACAAGTTGCGACAGTGAGGGCCGCGGTAAGTAGCTAGTATGTTTGTCTTACTAATATTAAAAACGCGAAAGTTTGTGACTATGGATGAATGTTTGTTACTCTTTCACGCAAAAACTACTGAACGGATTTTGATAAAACTTTACAGTTTAGCTTATACATTAGAATAACATGCTATATTTCTATTGAAATTTATATATTGTAAGGCTATAAATTGACGCAGGTGAAACCGCGGGCTCAGCTATTAAAGTTGTAATAGGCTTAGCAATGATGAACGGCTGAGATAAAGCTGAGCTTAACAGGTTAGCAGACGTATTGTGGAGCTAACGGAGGATGCTGCGGACTTCATTTCAAATTTCATTAAGATTCGTTTAGTCGTAACAAACTTAAAGATTACTTTAATATCTCCTCCGCGTGTGCTAGACCGCTAGACCTCGGTGGTCTAGCGGTCTAGCACAAACGGTCTTTACGTCCGAGGGTCGCGGGTTTGATTCCTCGCACGGCACAAACAATTTATTCATGAGTATGATTGTTTGTATCGGTCTGGGTGTTTTCTATGTATAATATGTATGTATTTACGAAAAAAAATTGTCTATGTACTTGTATCAGTTGTCTAGTACCCGTAATACAAGCTTTAACTAGCTTAACTTGGATCTAGATGACGCTGTATGAATTGTCCTGAGATTATTATTATTATCATATTGTAAATTTACTGTATACTAGTGACCCGTCCGGGCTTCGCACGTATGCACAAATCTTTGAACCTCGGCTTGTTCTATACCATAATACTCATGTATTATTCATATAAACCTTTTCTTGATTACTATATCTATTGCTGAAAATAACATCAAAATCTGTTGTCTGATTTAAAAGACATAAGCTGACTCTGTTTTATATCATGTAGAGATGCATATGTAATTATAAATAAACAAATTTCTATATATATTGTTATTGTTGTCGAAGCGTATACAATATAATATATTTAGGTCATTTATAAACAGTTATCTGCTCAAGTATCGAGTCATGACACGAGAGATAAGCGGTCACAATGTGTAAATATAAACACGGAGACCGCGAGCCGGTCAAAGGAGTCTTTGTTGACGTGCCGACACCCGAAAGGATTATAAACGAGTTCAAGGCGACATCGCGACATAGAGACGGACGAACGGCAGCCAGCACCCGGAGACGACGCGACGGCCAGCGGGGTATTGATCACGGGCTCATTAATACGGGAGGCACTCCA